ATTCGTTCCCTCTTCCTCTTCCTCATTTTCCTCTTTTCATGGCTCGAAACTTAACAATGCAGGCAGCGGTGCCTGGCACTGCTTTCTCACTGCCTCTTCCACTATTTCATCGACGAACCACTCTCTGCTTCGCGCCGTTACCATAATTGCCAGGAAGACCCCCGTCGACCGTTAAATCTTCTCGTCCTATAATCCTCGTGGTTTCTCTCGTGTCACGCGATTTATCCTTGTCTTTCCTAAATTCCCGATTGAATCGATTAACTCACTTTTACCAATCGATTTTCATATCAACGGAGTACCAACGTTATTCAAAAGATATCCATTAACTTTAAAGGTACTTTCAATTATGTTTTAACTAAATAAGTATTTAACATTTTGATCAATATCTTTCATCTTCCGTTAATCACGTCATAGAAAATATTTTATAAGAGTAGCTCGTTATAATGTTACAAGGAATATTGACGTCATCGTTATAGCTTAATACTTTTATTAAATATCTAACACTTTTCGAGGACAAGAACGAGGAGGATCAGTTATTATCGCCTTGTCAGAGGAAAGTTCAATGTCGATAAGAAACTTTCTAGGAAAAGAATACCGTTAATGATGTTATCGATGCTCGATGAAGCTGGTACTCCCGGGTATCTATTTTTCGATAGGAGCCACAAAAAGTTTAGATAGATTGTTGAAATTTTAACTTTTTTACCTTTTATCAAATATAAATTTTTACTCGTATATACATAAATTAATGGATATGTCGAACGTGTGATTTCCACAAAACATATTCAAATCATGAATTATTATTTTGTCCCAGTAGAGAAATTGTGATCGAAATGTGATTGTCTATCCACCGTTCTATCCTTTCGCTTAGTTATCCCATCCAACTCGAAACTCCTATTGGAATAGTTAAAATATTTAAATCAGCGGTACGTGCACGTAAAGTAGCTTTCGTTAAAATAACATTTGACGGTACAATACGCGCGAATCCAGGCGGTACAGGTCGCGGCCAACTTTACAGGCCGCTGCCAACGGTGCTGGCGCTCTGTTGAATATTTTAATTGAGTAATTAGAAAGCCACGTTTCTCTTGACTTCGTTTACGGCTGCGCCAGAAGGTGCTCGTTCCGACTTCGAATTAACTTTCACTTTTAAATACTTTTACGATTTTGACAAACGAACAAACGAACAAGCCAACGAACGAACGAACAAACCAACCAATGAACGAACGAACAAACGAACGAACGAACGAAAGAACGTAACTACTTGGATATGTATTACAGTGCGATTAGAGAAAAAAAGAATAGAAGTCAGAAAAGGTTAGACAGAACGTTCCTAGTGCGAAACAGAAGACGCATTGTGTCGAGGCTTTTAAAGCATCTTCATTATGCTAATGGCTACTCATATTTTCCCGGGAATTCTACGTACCGACATACATACATTGAGCGCATATGCGTTCAATGAAAGCTCCGAAAGAAAAAAGGAATTTTCAATTTTCTTTTTTCCTCTTTATAGAATTTTCGAATTTTATCGCGTAATATTTCATTTTTCGAGAGGACGTAACGGTTCTCTCAGAAGAGCTGGACTATTTCGTATCCATAGCGTTGCAGTCGAAACCGATGTAAATCGAGAAACGCGTCGAGGAGGAAAACGATCGCCGGAGACAAAGCAGTAGTGTAGAACGAACGCTTCGGTCCGTGCCGAGAGACCGAAATTCGATGTCGAAATCAACGATACGACGATACTTTCAAAGTATAGCTCTGTTGTCGTCGTAGTCATCGTTGTTGTTGTCGTCGTCGTCGTCGTCGTCGTCGTCGTTGTCGTCGTTGTCGTCGTTGTCGTCGTTGTCGTCGTTGTCGTTTCAAGCTCGAGACTATCCTACGCGCTACTTGCATAGAAAAGTACAAGAGCTCGTTGGAAAACTATTCGATAGAAGTGTCTCCTACTGATATTTGTTTCCTCCCTCAATATCGTCATATAAAAAACGATAAACAAATATCGTTCTGGGTCAACGGTATTCTCCCTCTCCCTCTCTCTCTCTCTTTTTCTCTTTCTCTTTCTCTTTCTATTTCTATCTCTCAATAAAACCAAATCTAAATATCTTCATTCCATGTTAAACGTTTAAACCGAAGATTATACTCTCTTTTCTTTTCCTACTTTGAGATCTGAAATAAACTTGGAATAAAATAAAGGGAAAATGAAGGAAAAGTGAGAAAGAAGGAGGAGTAGAGACACGATCGTTGACCGCAACGTGGCCAAATTCGAAACCGAAATCGACGATACGAGACTTTCCTTTCTCTTTCTCTCTCTCTCTCTCTCTCTCTCTCTCTCTCTCCTCTTCTTTCTTTATATCCCATTCAACGTTTTACCACCAAAAGGTATCGCCCTACCATGCTTTTGGCCAAGTTCTCGAATCTTGGGGGTGCGGCTCGAAGAACTCAGCGTACGTGCCGAGACTCGAAGGTACGAACTTTGGATGCTAGCCAAGAGGCGTGGAGCCTTGTTCTCTCTCTCTCTCTCTCTCTCTCTCTTGATTTTCTTTTTCTTCTTCCTTCTTTTCTCTTGGACTACGATATTTTTTCTCGGTCACGGGCTTGTCAACGAAGTATTGTTCTCGCAAAACGAAGAAGGTTTACAGTCAAATTTATATATGGTACACGAGATGGTGGTGCAACGTATGCGGTCAGAATATGTACTAAAGTGTGTAACCACTGAGAAGGGATACAGTGAGGCAAGATGTTGCCTGGTAATAGTTTAGTTTGAAAAGGACCGATGGTGAAAATAAATCCATAAGGAAGTGTACATTTATTTCTAAGACATCTCGACGTGATTTTTTTTTTTTCTAAATATTTGATAATGTTCAAAAGTGTTATTTATTCGTTAAGAATTTAATTTTTCGTTAGAAAAAAAAAAAGAAATTAATATAGATATTATAATTAATATAGATATTATATTAAGGTTGATAATAAAAATAACTATTTCCTAAAAATAATGGAATGGATCGATACCCCCGTCGAAGCTCTCCTCGCGCTCTTATTCCTTTATCTATCGTCTCCACTTTCATATTTCATATCTCTCAACGTAAATCCAATCTGCGCGGAATGAAAAATGTTTCACTCGGAAATTGTATGACGTATATCTCATATCGTAAGCTTTTACACGCCTCTCCCATAAAGCTCCCTCTTATTTAGATAAATATCGTAATCATTTTGATACAGGTTAGAGAGAAAAATAAGAAATATAATGGACATCGCATCGGTAAATTTTACGTTATTTAATAATCGGTTAAAATTTTAAAACCATAACGAAAGTTTTGAAATAAGAGATTATAATATTTCAAATTATCATCTTCGCGATCTGTTTACAATGTAAACATTCCCATTGACGTTCGTGGAATCGAACGAGTGAAATATTAAAAATCGAAAAATATAAAAAAAAAAAAAAATAAATTGATTAATTTACATTTATTAAAGATTTCAAATAGTTTATCGAAAATTAATCGCTTCACAATGTATTCGGCCTTACCTTTATCTTCGTCGTATAGCGACATTTCATAACGCGGTAAAAATCAGTGACACGTTCGTAATGCACTTTCAACAGAATCCGCTTCCATGGATGGCGAATGTGTGCCAGTACTCGACAATACACTGCGTATTTATCGTTTCTCACCCTCCCAACAGAATTCAGGCACGGACCTGTGCATTCGTGAAAAGAAAAAAAAAAAAGAAAAAAAAGGAACAATCGCAATCGTTCTCAATCCATCCGTTTCCCTTCCTCCCGAACTTCATCGACCGATTTACCACCAACGCAGAGATCCTATCGACGCAGGGATAGAGAAATAATTTTACGTCGACTCGTCAGCATCCCGCATTGCGTTCGCTCGCGGCTCGTCGATGCCTTTGAGCGTTTCTTCACAATACGCGCGATATTGCACCGATATCGTCCGACGATTTCCGACAATTTTACGTCTACCTGCCTCATACAAATTTCAATTTCTAGCAGTCGCGTCGCACTGCCCATCTCCCTCATCCTACTTGCCTAGAATACAATGGGAAATTCTATCGATCTTGTCGTTTCTCGTATGCTCACAACATCGACGAATCTTTACTTTTCTTTTGTTATTTTATTCAATCATCTTCGAACTTCAATATATTCTCCGTGGAAAGAAAGAAATATATATAAAAAAAAAAAAAAAGATATAAGATAATTTCATTGATTACCAAATATTTATACAAATTCGTGAGATATTTATTGGAAAATTAATCCTAACAATCTTTATTACCATGCTCGAATATTCATTTACTCGGCAAAAATATTTAATGGTACATACTTACGTTAATATTCAAATGTAGAAGTAGAAAACTATCTCGGGAATACAAATTGTTGAAATATCATTTGGAATTGTGAAAAGAGTAACGTCCAATGATAAAGTATAAGGAAAACCGAAAGAGAAACAAAGAGAACAGAAACAACGAAGTTCACTTATCGTTAGATATTAGTTTATAAACTATGTACGGTAATTTCGGGCTCAAAGGAGACGTTATAGATAGGTGAAATCGCGGTGTTCCATAACAGACAGTTAAAATTTTATAATGTACTCTCGACAGCGATAGTACAATGTATTACCTACTCTTCCTCCTTCTCTCTCTCTCTCTCCCTCTGGCTCTTCCTTCTATTTCCAGCACGCTCTGTACAAATACAATTACCTTGAAGCTGTAAAGTTGGCAAAGTTATCCTAGACTACAAGCAAGGTCTCGCTGATCCTAGCGCTACAGCCACGGAAGGATAGAGCAACCAACTATGTTCATTCGTTTCAAGTCTCGATATCTATCCTTTGTCGTTCGAAAACTTACTGATATTATATATCGTTTCAATTGCAAGATCACGTTGGCAATATTTGTTCTTTGATCTTCTCTTTTTGGAAAATCAAGAACAATAAAAAAAAATAATTAAAACAAGGTCAATGATCGTTTGTTATTTCTACAGATATTATTTCTCTTTTTCGCAGGTGAGTCCGGCAGCGTGAGCAGTGTAAACGTTGATCTCGGTAAGCCGACGAATCCATGGGCCAGACCTCAATTCGACGACATCGCACCAAAAAATATCACTGCCATAGTTGGTCAAACGGCCGAGCTTAATTGTTACGTTAAACGTCCAGGTGATCGTGTGGTGAGTAAAACGTTGTATCGCATAAAACTGTATCGATAATTTTCTTGCAATAATTTCCTTTCGGCCAGTTAAATAAGCTCGTTAAGCTTGTTAACTAAAGGCGATTAGTATCGTTCGTAATTACTAGTTTAAAAAATGATAAGAGAGTTTACAAGTGCCTCGAGCACGTGATTCCTATGAATCGTTCATGCGGCGTGTTAAAGTTATCGAAAGGATTCGTGATAGAAAGAGAAGAAAGAAGGGGACAGAAGAAAAAATAAAGAGAGAAAGAGAGAGAAAGAAAAAGAGGGTAGAGAAAGGAAATAGATGATGGATAACGATGCACGATATAACGCAAATTATGAAAACGCATGCTATAGAAAGGGTGCTTGACTAAAAAAAGGTTGGATTATCGATTCTAAGGTTGATGCCTTCGAGCGAAAGCGCGAACTCGTATTTTTCGCCTATCCTTTTCTAAAAAAAGAAATTCTTCAATGGCGCGTATGCCGACAAGTTGAAAGAGCCTGCCTACTTTCGAGTAGAACGACTTCTCGAATTCTATCGAGCACGAGAATCTTTAAAGGCCCTTATATAGTAGAAGCTCGAATGAATATCCTGGCTGGTTGGCTAGATGGCTGGTTGCTTGGTTGGTACCTAACGCACTTAACCGTATATAATTATCACGTGCAAACGTTTGGGCGCAACTGCGACGAAATAATAATCGGACGTTTACTTATTAAATAGTAATATTAAGGCAACTATGCTTTCTAGAGTGTCGCTGGCACCCTCGTTCTCGGTGTTCCGCCTAATCTCGCTCTCTGTGATTACGATAATAGGGCAGGGATTTGCATTTAACGCTCGGACGTCCCTAGCGAGAGCTACACCAAGTTCACTTGTTTGCTTGCTTATTACTATTATTGTGTTGTGAATACGAATAACGGAAGAAAAAGCATACGCGGAAATAACGTATAGAATGTGAATCCAAATAGGAAAAAAAAGATTGGGGGAGGAAGTGGAGAAAAAGAGCCAAATTCTGGGAGATTTCGAGTTGAACAATTTCAGTGGCGGAATCAAAGCTATGGAAAATTTCCAAGGGATAAATTATTTATTGAAAACCGAACACGCAACGAGTGTGGAATCGTAATTGAACGGATGTAACCCGTTTCACGATTCGTTCGTTCATTTGTTCGTTCATTCGCATGTACCGAACATGTAACCCAATACTTTATAGTTAACTACATACATGTATCTATATAGCGAATGATACACATATGGCCTATAATTAAGCATTTAATTGCGTCGTACTCGAAGATACGTACGTTCGAACAAGTTCTCTATCTCTCTTAACTTAATTTAACAGGCGTTCACAAAACGCGATAGATTTTAATTGCATCAAGAAGTGGAAAAAGCTACTGTACTTCCGTCCTTAATGAAAGTCTGTAAGTCGGGACGCGCTTTTATAAACATCCTACAAATAAAAACTGAACGAAATCCTCGCACCTCTTTCTCTCTTTCTCTCTCTCTCTCAATCTCTCTCTCCTTTTCTCTCTCTGTTTCCCTATCTCTTTCTCTCGAGTACACCAAGATTTAATCAGATTTCTACCCTACGAGTTCGTTCTTCTACTTCTACTTTCTCCTCCTACTTCCCAATTATTGTAACTGCTTTGCAACTTTGAAAAACTTGGCTCTTTCTTCCTTTTTACTACACAGTCTTTTCTGCTTACCGCCTGCCTCTATTCTTCCATTGCCTTTATGGTTCGTGGAATAGACGAAGACCCCTTGTTGCCTCGATTCCATCGTCGTTCAAAGTGCGCGACTTTCATCGTTCGTAATTATCTGCAATTATGCATCGGACCTCTCTCAACGATCGTTTCTGTTTACTCACGAAGATATTCAAAAGTTCTGTAACATCGTAATCATTCTCGTAAGTTTACGCTTCTCGACATAACGTAAATCACGCTCGTTGGAAAGCAGAAACTTTCTTCGTTCTACTATTAATAGAATCTTGATACGCTTGGAAACTGAATTAATAGTATTACACCACGAATCGTAGAATCCCACGAGTAAGTTCGATCAAGATTCAAATTTTATATCGGAACATATACATATAGATGTATTAGATCGATCGAATTACAAGGAAATCGAACGGCTCTGTTGCGAAATGATATGGGCATAAAAGATTTTGGATAATCGCGGGACCTTGCAAATTAGCAACAGTTTCAATATGCATATCGAGTCCGAGAGATATTCTAGTAAATTTAATGATCGTGTAACATTCACTTCCACTGCATATCCTAATAGAGTTTCAGTGGAAAGCCGAGCACCGCGTGTTCGTACTTCCACATATGTTCTTTATGTAGAAGTAGATGATATCATGGAACGCATACCCATTATAGTCATAAATATGAATATCTATTAAACGCTAATGTTATGGTCGAATATTGCACGGATATGAACATCATTGGATCTATTTAATTGTATTAATAAATCGAGAGTACAAAGTCCTATGATGTGATACGATGATATAATGAAATTATTACAAGAGAAGGGAGAAAAATTTCTTGATGAATTTAATGTCAATAAAGAAAGAGAAAGAGAGAGAGAGAGAGAGAGAGAGACTCTTCATTCATAAAAATCACTATTTTTTGGTCTCTGAAAGTATGCTTAGAAATGGGAAAGGTATTCGTTAAATCTCTTTCTCCAATTTCATATTAGCTATCCTCTGAAAATTCTAAAATAGTGGTATGAGATATATGGTATATGTAAATGTACGATGTATACGTGATAATTTGTTGGTATAAGTAGGAAATGTGAATAGAAGGGTCTCGACCACACAAGGGTTACCCTTTAATTGCCAGATACGAGAGTCTCGAACACACGAGAAGAAGCGAATGCCGATTAGAACAGGATCGTGCAGTCGAGCAGGAGGTGGCTTCAACCTGGCTCCAAGCTGGCTTTCAACCTAGCTTCGGCCAAATGAACCGATCAAGCATACTCAACGAAGTGACTGCAAGGGATATGGATCTGTTCGATTCTCTCTCCTATCTCTTGCAATACGTATATGTACATATCTATAGTATAGACATTACATGAGCGAAACAGAAAACCGTTCGTACACATCAACTACACCTGTGTCCGGTAATGATCAAAGCCCTTTAAGATCCGTTTCATGAACGGCATTGATGCGGTATACTACCGGATTTCGGCACTTCGAATTTTCATTTAACTTATTGCATCCGTTGAAATTTATAAATCCGTGTTAAGTTCAATGATCATTCATTCCTTCGTGTCTTTTAAAATGGTGGAAAGAAAACGGTGGATAGAGGATAGAGGTTGGCCCTGTTAAAAGATGGGCAAAAAGAAAACGGAATCTAGTCGATCGATCGAACGACGTATTAATTAACGTTCCTGCTTTTCGACATCGTTAAATGACAAACGATACGATCGGGGCAACTCGAATCGATGACGATACGCTACTTTCGAGAATATTAAAATCTCGAAAGAAAATCGACAAAGGTATTCGGGACTATGAGTTGCAAATTCCAATCAACCTTTTTTGTTCTTTTCTTAAAAAAAGCGCGTGTTCCGTGATTAAACCGAAATAAAAAGGATTGGAAAAGCATAGAGAGGATTCGTTGAAAATTGGTCTTATTTAACCACGATAATCTTTTCCAAAAGCAATCGCATTTCGAAGATATCTCCGAAGGATATCTCACGAATCTCATCGATCTTTCCGTTTGAACCTATGTACTGAACCTATCTCTGACGCAACCGAAAATATGATATTTATGCATCGCATATATCAACGAATCACGACACATTCCCGTTCTCCTCCCATCGAAAACTCGAGATAACGAATTTTATTATAACGCTCGGTCCTTCGCAAATCGTAAATCTGTACGGGATGGTAATGTACGCGAGCCGAAAGTCGCGAAAAATTTGCGCGAGCACGAACTTTCGCGGAAGTAAATTTAAAAAAGATTGCGAGAAACTTCGTTCTGCTGGCGTTTCTCGAGAATGTCAAAAGAGAAAAATTTATATATATATATATACATACATACGCGATTCTAATCGTAAGCGTCGCGTTAAGGTCGTGGCAATTCCTAAATCTTTTCGATTTGACAAGAGACAACCTATTGAAGAAGAATAAAAAGAAAAGTAAATAAAGAACAAGAAACAAAGATCTATAAACGTTCCTTTGAGATTCCAGAATGAAAGGGGGAACAAGAGAAGAAAAAAAGAAGAATTGTAAGAAAGAAAATAAGAAATTGATGATAATTATTCTGTCTGGATCGCGTTAATTTATTTGACAATCTCAGCTGTCGAATTACTGTTTATTAATGACCCACACGATAAATGTAATTCATCGAAGTGAAATAGCAACACAAATATATAAGGAAAGGAAAGGAAAATATTGATTGTTAGATTATCTCTTCGTTTGAAGAAAAGTGGATGCTGCATCCCTGCTTTGCACATATTTCTCTCTCTCTCTCTCTCTCTCTCTTTGTTTCCTTCTTCCTTTCTGTAGAAGCAAAACACTGAATTTGATTATACGATCGCTCCTGTCTCTACGCTTGAAATAATTTGAATGGCTTAGGTTTAATCGTGTATCTACGCTGGTTGATTTTGGATGCGTAACTGCAGAAGGAATTTGGAATGTGCGTTATCCGAAAGCTAAACGTATGTACGTATAGCAGCACGTGTATATCTGTATCTAGATGTATGTATGTACATGGGTACGTATGTATATACATGTGGCAACACGTTCTGAACTCTACGTGCCGACTCTCTTCGTTTTCATTACGAGTAATTGATTAGCCAATCCGCCGACATCACGGAAGACGAATCGAATCGAACGTCCAATACTTTCTCACGTACGAAACCCCTCACATTCTCTTTCTTTGGTTTTCTCCATCCTCGAAATGAAAACATCTTGAAATTAAAAACCTATGTTCTCCATCGAACTAAATGTCAATCGTCTACGGTGAATTAACAATCAACAAATACGATCGACTTATTCA